GTCTATTCTCTCAGACCTGAAGTAGTTTCTGGGGGAGATGGGAGGAGAACAGAGTGAGTATTCTGTATAATTCCTACCTTTTATAAATTCATTAAAAGAATATTGGGACTGATATGCTCCGGTTCCTCTGGATAGGAAACAAGATTTTTGACTTTTCAGAAACCTGTTTTGCTGAATTGTATCTCAGAAGGTGTCTGGGGTTTTTTTCCCTCCTTGCTTTTAAGAGATATCTACTGATAGTATAAACTACTTGGGTGGATACTTTGGTTTTTAAATAGCACAAATTTGTCTGAAGCTGTTGCTAAGGCTTCTAAAAGTCGTCTTTATAGCTCAGAGGCATAGTTCAACTTTTTTTTTTTTGTAAGTAGGCAAATGATAAAATAAACATAGCTCAGATGTAACTGAGTTAAAAATCATGCTAATCTCAAAGTATAATTATTCATACAGATTTCTCATTTAAATTCAGTAGATGTCTCTGGCTTTCTAGACAGCAGTGTCCCCATTTTTATGAAGCTGAGTTTACTTCACTTGTGGTTTGGTGGTTGCAGAGTACTAGTATAAAGCCTGAAGTTACATGTTAAGAATGTAAGGCAGTTGGACTAGGTGATCATTGTAGGTGCCTTCCAACTGAACTATTCTAATATCCAACAGGCTTTTCCTTTCCATGGATCCTGTTCATGGGGAAATATCCAGAGCCATGCGGAATCGTGGGATTGAAATTTACATTCCCGGCGAGAACGATGGAAATGTATTGGACAATCTGGATTTGAAGTTACTCCTGCATGGTTTGGGTTTAGTGGGAGATAGCATCTGTGATGCACTTATGGCTGTGCATTCAGAAACCAAGGAAGCAATAGCAGGTAAGAAAAGTCTGTTCAGTATTTGTTAACAACTTGGGCTCACTACATATATTTGGATTAGCTCTTTAATATTAAAGCTTGGTTCTTTTACTGTGTTATGTGATGATATAAGTAAAAGCATAAAAGTATAATGAGGTTGGTTTGGGTTGTATTTTACGTTCTCAGGAAATAGGCCTCAGTCATAAAAAGACTGGAACTGGAGGTGCTTGTAAGGAGACGTCAGACACTGGCAAGTGTCAGTTGCCTATTGCTATAGGTAAGGTAATCTATTCTAAGTGAAAATCAGCAAAATTGAGGGTTTCCAAAAGGCCTGTTCAGGTTGTTCTTTGGAGCAAGATGACAACGAGTGTCATTCACCTCAGCTGCTAGATGTCTTATTTTGAATTTGTCACCTGCTATTTACAGTTTTGTCAGATTTTTGTATTAACCTTGGAAAGAACTCATTCAATTTTCAGGACCCAGTAGGATTCGTTTGTTTTGGATCTTCCTCAGGGACTAAAGTGGTATTTGTCCTCAGAGGGTGAAAGGGCTGACTATGGCAAAACATTCATATCACCCTAAATGCTGCGTGTCTTTCAGGTTCTGTGTCATCTTTGTCACCTTTGCTTCAGGCTGCTGCTTTAATTGTGCAGCAGATACAGAGAGGCCTTGGATTAGCAAAGTCTTTTCACAGAGCCTGTTGGGAAGTTTATGGCCGCTCACAACAACTGCAGATTAACCAAAAGGTAAAAGTCCTGTGTTTGAAAGCTTTTTCTCACATCCTCTAAATAGATGAAAAATAAAATTTCATGAGGCTAGTGTTGGAGATCCTCTGTTTCCTAAGCGCCTGACCAAGGGATTGATGAGATGGTGCTCTTCAACAGATGAACCTAACTATTTTAAACACCCTCTCAGGCATCTGTCAGATGTTGAAGAGGAGGGATTAAGTGGCATTGGGACATTTTCTGTATCTCTTAGACTTTGAGCCTTTTTTGGCTCCAGCATAAGCAGTACAGTTCTGCATGTAACTTTTAACAAATTAGTTGGAGTTCCAGAAGTTGGGTTTTTTTGTATTGAACGGTGAAGTACAGTGAACTTCAGCTGTCACCTGTCCTTTCATGACATAGTTTCTCAGCCTGGTGGCATGCTACTGGAGAAAGACGTCAGATAAGTGAGAGCTGCATAAAGACTATCAATCTAGCATGTGCTTACTGAGATATTCCCTGGGGGATAAATAGGGTTTCTCAGACATTTTGTAGATAGTGGCTCACTCTTTTGCAGCATAAGGGAACTAGGAATATCTCAGTTGGACTCTGAGGCTTACTTGTATTTTAAGAGCTTCAGCTGAGACTTTGCGATATTAATACTGATTATTCTATAGCCTGAAACACTGTGCACACTGTCATCTGGAGATAGCAATATTCATTTTGTATTTTAAGCTGTACAGTATGTTATTTCACTTATTGTTCGAGTGTTTTGGTACTTTTATCATGTAGGTTATATAGTGTTTGTAGAACATTTGGTTTATAATGATTTCATAATAAATACATTTAATTAAAGAATTCTCTGAGCTCATGTACTTGAATACGTGTTTGAATACTATTCTAAACTGCTTTTTGGTTGTTTGTTGTAGCTTGTGTTAGAATTGGTTATGAAGCATGCTTCATCTCTGGCTTCCCATGAAATTTGGGGTGACTCCCTGCTAGCAATGGGATTGTGGCCAGACTCCCTACCTACAGGTCTGTTTGCAGCTGAAGACTCACTTCTTTCAACAGCCAGGAGTGATGCACAGGTCCTAATGTATTGTCTGAATAGACTAAACCTTAAAAACTGCAGGTAGGCAAGAAACACTTTTTGTCTAATAAATGAGTAAGAAACAAGGTATGTGTGAAATACTGGTGGCATGTCATTGTGTCTTGCAAAACTTTGTCCTGAGGAAATTGTGTGGGTAGAGACTGTGATAGTCACATTCTGTAACTGAAGCTTCTGTTACCTTTCCATGCAACCACTACAAATACAAGTTTAATTATTTACTGTTTTATTCCTCGGTCCAAAATACTTGACTCTATTCAATCTTCAATAAGTAGTACGTTTGACCCATTTTGAGTTGAGTTAGGAGTAGGCATTTAGCAGAAAATGCGAATGCAGACATTGGGTTTACGAGGTAGTAAGATCCTCAAAAGTGTCTTCCTGCAGTTTCTTTCTGAGCTTTAAAAAACCCCCAAGGTATTCAAATAGTCTTAAATATACTAATGATCCTCTGTACTTCCTGCTTTCATGTAAACAATTATTCATCAGATATTTTAGGTCCAGTAGCTTCAGGTGAAAAAACAAATTTCCTCCTTCAAACAGAGCTGTCTGAAAATCTCATGTGCAGGGGTCATATGCCAGAACTCTTTTAATGATTGTGCAATATAACTGTTATTTTCACAACACTGGTGCAAAATCTTCCTACCTGCCTGTTTTGCTTAGTGACCTACCATGGACAGGTACTGTGGTTTGCTTCCAGTGAAAGAACAAGCTGGACTAACAAGCTACTAATAGGAAGTTAGTACTAAGATGTAATGTTGAAATTGTAAAATCTTAGCAATGTGCTGGGTTTTTTTATCAACAACACTTCTCTCCTGTCTTTGTCTGTTTTGACTTACCTTTGCAGATCATTCTGGTGCACAGATCAATTATACTTTCTCGGTGAAATGCTATGCATATTCACTTCTGACACTGCATGAATTTTTGGTGATAGTGAGTTCCTAATAGTAGACACCCCCAACTGATTTGAAGTTGGAATTTAAAGCTAAATAAAGAGGAGAGATTATTGCATTGCTACCTTCTTGTCTTAAGACGGTTGCATGCTGAGTAGCTTGACTTGCAAAATATGTTCTTTCCTGGAACTGACAGTTCAAGTCTTTTATTGCTGGACTTCACTTCTTTGTGTTTCAGGACACTACCACTGACTCTGCAAGATCTTCAAGAGATTATGCAGTCCACTAATCCCGAGAGTCTCAAATTCAGTGCTGTTGAGATAGCTGCCAACTGGATGGATAAAATGGAAGTTCTCCAGGCCGCAGTGAAATTGTTCACAGAAAAGGCAACCAATCAAGACTGGACACTGAGAGTTAAATGGCTTAACTCCCTAGCCAAAAATCTGCCGCAGGTGCTTGGTATGTAGTTATTTAACTTTCCTTTTTGCCTAAGGGATGATTTATTATGTTTTCACAAATTATAAGTCTCCTAAGAAAACATTCAGGCCATTTAGATGATCCAATATGAAAGTTCTCAGCTATCCACATGTGTTTCTGTTGTGGTTAAACCCAGCAGCTAGGCAAAACAACCACACAGCCATTCACTCACAACACCCCCACAGTGGGATGGGGAAGAGAATCAGGAAACGAAAAGGGTAAAACTCGTGGGTTGAGATAAAAACAGTTTAATAGGACAGGGAAAATAAAAGAATATACAAAACAAGTGATGCACAGCACAGTTGCTCACCACCTGCTGACTGATGCCCATTTAGTTCCTGAGCCGCGACCCCTCCCTGGGCAGTTCCTCCAGTTTATATACTGAGCATGGTGTCGTATGGTATGGAATATCCCTTTGGCCAGCCTGGGTCAGCTGTCCTGGCTGTGTCCCCTCCCAGCTCCCCATGCACCCCCAGCCTGCTCGCTGCCAGGCCAGGGCACGGGAAGCTGAAGAGTCCTTGACTGCTCAGCAGCAACTGAAAACATCAGCACGTTATCAACACTTTCTCATCCCAAATCCAAAACACAGCCTCACACTAGCTTCTGTGAAGAAAATTAACTGTATCCCAGCTGAAACCAGGACAATTTGGTTTGTGTGGCCACGTTGTGGTAGCAGGAGGGACTACAGGGATGGCTTCT